CATTTATAGCTACTAAGACTATATAAATTTTTATTTTACTTTATATTTTATTAAAATATACTTACTTTTTAATAATATATGTTAAAAATTCCATATATATGAGAAATGGGTTTTTTCACACCTCTTTTACATTTAATAATTTAAGTTTCGCAAATGTAAATTTTTGTTCAACTTATTATTTAGTCAAGTGATCATTAATCAGATGATTTTTTGGTATTACAAAACAATTTTGAATAACGAAAATTGTGAAATAACTCTTTTTAATGCAGAGTAGACAAATAAAAATGGAACATAACTTCTTCCTCAATTTTTTAAAAACATAATAATTCCGCAGTAAAAAATAAAAATTTTTTTTACTCTCATTTTTATTAATATGGAAGATAGTAGAAATATACAAATAGCCGAAAATAGGTTTCCTTATGGAACTGGTGAAGAACATAGATTTTTACATTTTACATATACACATTATTTTCAATATTGTGAAAGTCTTTTTACTTCTTTTTTTCTGGACCTCAAGTAGAAGTTCAAAATAATATTTTAAAAGCAAATTTTGGTCTATCAAATGAAGAAATACTCAGTTGGGAGAATAGAGCCGCTCACTATAAAATAACACCTCAAAGTTTTTCTTTTTTTTTACATGTTGCTATGTATTCTGCTTCTCAGGGTTTTAATGCAGTATACTCTGGAATAAAAGAGCGCAGCAAAGGAAGAAAGCAAATGTTACGTTTAGTGAGAAAGCATGACGAAAAGACTAAAAAGAGCAAGAAGGCTAAAAAAAATAAGAAGAAAAAATACCAATCTGAAGATTCCGATTCTAATGTGCTTACAAATGTAAGTACTAGTGGAATAATGAGAAATACTAATGATGATGATGATCAATTGGGTGTTGATCAAAATGTAATTATAAATCGGTCAATTGCGGATGCCTCTGGATCACAATCACATGTTAATCAACATATTGATATGGAAATCTCAACAGTACAACTTATTTCTGAACTGGATGTAATGCCTCAGCCGCAGCTTATAAAACAACCAGTTGACAATTCATCTAATTTGACAAAATCTTTGAATAAAAAAAAGAAGTCAAATAAAAATATTATTTAACAAGTTATTATAGGTCATAAACCAGATGATGATGGTACATCACGGATTAGAAATATATTGGTTTATGATATTCCAGTATCCTTGACACCAGAAGAAATTCTGCAACAGTTAACTCTGTGGGAAAAGACTATCTTGTTACAAACGAAACAATAAAAGAAATACCAGACAGTTCGTTTGAAGATAGAATTAACTTCCTTTTGTCTAACCCAGTTTGAAGGTAATGATGATCCAGTTTGGACTACAGATTTAAGGGGATACTGGTTCAGTGGTTTCCAGCAAGGTGGACACTCAAAGAAAGAAAATAACGTGAGAAGTTTCAAGCTACAATTCAAAAAATTCCAGATTTAATGACAGTAGCAACCTTATGGAAAGATCATCGCCCACATTCATTCCTTACTGCGATTAATGGTTTAAAAAGCTTTAAAATTATACAGACAGCAAAAGGGGATCGTAAGCTTATTGGTTATTTTGAAAAGTGGGTTGATATGCGTACAGCATTAGATAATCAATATGATTGGGAGTAACAGCACCTGTTTTGAAATCGACATGATCTTTCAATACAACGAACAAGATCATTTGGCAATAATGCTAACAAGGATCAGAAAAGAACTTCAGGAAGTCGACAGACTGATAAAAGTCAAAAGAATTCTAAGAATTCTAAAAAGAAACTACAAGAGACAAAATCTGAGAAGCATAAAATGCAGAAGAAAGATAAGTCCCGTAAAATATCACGATTTAAGGTCTTAGCAGAAATTTTAGATGTTTTACGTAAATTAATTTAGGATATACTAGATTTTTTTAGGTTTTAGAATTGTTTTATGTTTTATTTTTATTTTTTTTTATAGAGAAATATCTTTAAGCTAGTCACCAAAGGATGTACGAATACCGGTAGGATGTTTTATGCATGTGAAAGTATTTGGGCAGGCATTAAGGTTGCTTGTCTAAACCTCTTCAAAATCCTACGATTAGTTTTGTCAAAATTTTACTATAGATTTATTATAGTTTCAGCAGAGTTTTGGCAGTTTTAGCATTTATAATAAGTTTCGGCAGTTTCACTTTTCTCCAAAGTTTCGCCAGTTTTTTAATATAACTTTAATATAGTTTTGGCAGAATTTTGCTTTTCGGTGAAATGCCATCTTGCCTAAACCCCTAAGTTTCGGCAAGCAACCTTAGCAGGCATAATGGTAAATAGTTCTTTTGAACACATATTCTTAAGTCATCAAGTTTTTTATTAGTTTTTATTCAATCTTGTATTTAAACTAGATTAGTTCAATTTTGTATATTTTTCTTTTATAATAAATTTTTCCTTTGTTAAAAAAAAAAAAAAAAAAAACAAAAAAATGTATTATAACAAAACAATAAACAATCACGTGATCTCATGTTATGATACAAGATTTTTGTAAAATTATTTTCTAAAAACATTAAGTTTAAAAATCCCGTATACATTCCGTATGATTAATTTTTTCCGTATACATTTCGTATACATTAACTTTTTTTAAAAATGTTCAAAAATGAATTGCTTATTAAATATACGGAATTTTTATATGGAATCTATAGAAATGTACATAAAGTGTATACAAAACGTATCCTTTCCGTATACATATTTCTTATAGGGCTATATTTCTCGACATTTTGTATAATAGTTTTAATTTATTTTTTTCGTAAAAAATTGGTACAAAAGATCATCAGAAGCATTACCTGGTCCTTTAATATCATTTACTAATTAGTTCACTAATTTACTTTATTTAAAAATTCTTTCTTTCTTGATTTTTCGTTTTATTATTATTTTATTTTCGTCTTTTGAACTTGGAAATATGTATTTTATCTACTAACAACAAAATATTTTTTCTGCACTAGTGGCAGTGATTTATGCAGTAACTATTATTATACAATAATTATACAATAAGTTAGAATGCACTTACTGATCAATTATGATGACTGCGTATGAAACTTTGGAGTGAAAATGAATTGGTAGTCCGTTATTTTGCAAATAACTGTAATAAATTTGTTGAAATTTTTTTTGTTTTACAGGCAGATAAACGAATTAAAAATTTTAAGTCATATTACAAATCCTAAAGAATTGGAATAGAAGGATAATATTACCCATCCAGCAGAAATTAGGAAAACATATTAAACAAGTCCTAAATCCAAAAGAAATATTATCAATTGATTTTCCAAATAATTTGCAATTCTTTCTATAAATATATATTGCATCGTAGTATCAACGTGGTCATAATAATTATTAGATTCCAAGAAGAAAATTTTTAACTTGTTAACTACTCATTTCAATATAAGAAATATATGATTAAATCCCGCCTTTATTCCAAAAAAAAAAAAAAAAAAAAAAAATTTTT